TACACGAAACGTAGGTTTATATGATACTTGTTTTTATAAATATGTTTTTATGCCATTTGACTAATCACTTTTAAATAAGATTATTACTTTGTTACTTGGTGATAATTTTACGAAATTTTTCTACCTTAACATTAGCAAATCTTTTTTAATCTGAGAATCAAATTTTATTACAGCAGCACTTGTAAAACCGTGCTGATTTTCGCAAGTGCTAATCAATCCGCTTATTGTACGAACAAATGAGTAGAAAATCCAATTCATTGACTCAAATGCCATTGTATATCAAATAACACAATGCAGTTATTGATTTCAAACTTTATTGAACAAAAAATCATTTCTATAGTCTACATAAGCTTCTTAAATTGGTTCAATGGAAGTTCATTCTAGTTATACTAATCATTTACAAAGAATTAAAAATTTTGTTAATTAATACCTGGGTAGCGTTACAATGAACTACAACTTTTTTCTATACATACTAGCTGTTTATAGTCTTCTCATAATTGACTTCAATGTTGTTGATATCTTATAACAATTTTAAGTTATTATTAATAAACACATATTTTTTCAAAAGTAAGTTTACTGAAACCGGAATAACTTAACTAAATAAAAATATACTCTTTCAAATTGGGCGTCAAACAAAATAGTTCAGTACAAGTGTTGACTTACATATTATCGTCTTCTCTTTCATAAGTCAAATAAACTATGGTTTTTTTTGTGATTGACTCAATTAATCTTAATGTAATAAACTGGGTTGATTTATAAACTCTTACAATAATATCCAAAAATAAATACAAAATGTTGATAATGAATATTTTCATTATTTTAGAATTATGCTTTTATATATGTGTATGTACATATTTTTCTTATAACCTTTATATTATTTTATTCCAGTTTTATTTATCATTTTTGTTCTTCTTTCACAATGCATGCATTTATTTACAATAATTTTTTGGCTGCAACTATTCTCGTTGACCTGGTTTATTGATTCACCTACTCGTTCGTTCGTTCGTCCATTGGTTCAAACTCACTTTAATCTACTACTGTTTTTGATTATTTCTACCGTTTGATGATAATGATAATAAAATGCTAATGGCATGTACAATTACTTACACATATAATCTCTGTTGGATGTTGTTCACTGGGTGATTTTATGATAAATTTGCACAATCTCTATATATATACACATATGTTATGTATCTGCTATGCCTCGTCATATTATACTCCTCTACGTAGTTCGTCAGTATACTCAATTATGCTTACACAATAACAATCGTTATAACTGTGTTGTGGATGAATTAGAAACTGAGTAAGTCTTATACATTATCGTATTGTTAGATTATCATGATCACTGTGCATACATACTTTATATTCTTTATTCATTCATACAGTATTGGTGTTGTTAAAGTTTTTTTAAATCTTCTTTGTGTTTTAAATATTCCTTTACACATACCTATTTGTGCATGTTAGTTATTTCTCATAATCATATCATTCATTGTTTAATATAAATGACATGCTAATAAAGTGAGTTTTGGCCACATATACATTGAAACTAGAGTTTATTTACATTTAAAACTGTTAATTAACTTCATCATATTCATTTGTAATTTCATTATGAATGATTTTAGATTTTATTCTGTATTTGATTATACACCTATTGTGTTTTACAACAAATTATAAACATTACGACATTTTGCGTAATAATATACGTATATATGGTTAAGATTGTACATTTTCTACATTTAATTAGAACTGTTCATTTCCGGTTATTGCATATCAGTTAACAACATCAGAATTCTTTCATAAATATATTGATTACTTATTGCAAATTAAGGATAAATTATTTCTATAAATAATCTATTTTTGTACTGGTTGTTTGGGACTGAAACTGATCAGTCCTATTGGCATATGCATCCTGTGTGGATTGCTTCGATATTGCCTTAAGTCACAAACATTATAGGTAAGGATAGATGGTAGCTAGCAGTGGAATCCAGGACGCGTGTTTCGTCTCATTTGGGTCCCGAAGCAAACCTGAACTATCAGATGCATAAACATCTGGCTGAAAAGCCTGAAACAAGACGAAATGCGCGTCCTAGATTGTACTGCTGGCCACTATCATCTCTGTTTTATTTCTGCTATTATTTAACAATATAATTCAATAATCTTGTCAATTGGTTATCGTTATCGTAATAGAGAAGTATATTATTTGCATTCGCCTGTGTAGTTGATAATCTGACTAGATACCTCTCAATCGTTCAAAGCTAGTTTACTTTTGAAAAAAATAGTAATGAGGTTGTAAATGACTAGATATCATGAGACAAAACGACTAAATAGCTACTAATAATACAATAAAATGATTATGAATGGTAATTGATCACTTATAAGCCAATAAAATTGGGACTTTACTTCGTTTACATTGAATTAATATGGAAATTATATCGAAGTTGTATAAATGAGATATTATTCGACAAAAAGCGCACATAATGTTTGCCAAGATTACTGAATCGATAAATTGCAGTTACAGTGAGAAAAAATTATGATATAACATGCAATTATTAAGTGGGAATTATCTTACGAAATTCCAATGTATGTTGTTTTTCTAATTAAAAAGGAATGTTTGTATCTACAAAATCATTGTTAAATTGTTAAAAGTTCCTTCACTTATTGTTATTATTATTATTATGCAAAAACATCATAATATCTTAACATAAACTTGACTGCATTGCATTGTCGAGTGTACTGGGTCAGTTCAACTTTTAAACTAACGATTTTTCTAGTTTGCACAAACAATATGAATTACGATATTATAATTTATGTGAATACATTCGAAAGATTTCGATTATTATGGATATTAAATCAAACAAGGTATCTTTATAAGCCTAGCAAACTCAGTATTTTAATAAATATAGTACTTCATGGAGGGTGTCATTGTCAAGCCAATATATTGTTTTCAGCTTGTACTTTATCAATAGATTCATTGTAGCAATACTTATGATTCACATCTCGTCTCAACTTATTTCAAATAACTAATTCTAGGAGGTGTCATTTATCTTTTGTTTGAATATAGTTGAGTTGTGGTTTCGTATTTACTAAAATAATTCCCTTTCAACCACTAGATTTTAAATACAAATTTTGTTTATTATTTTTAAGTGTGAGTAGTATCATTAGGTTTTATACAACGTATCCGAGCATAATAGAATGAAAATATCGACTTGTTTTATCGAAATAGTTTGTATGATCAATTATATGGAATTTTAATTATGGGATGTAGTTTGTGATCACGTATATATTAACGTAATTACTTTGAACGAGAAAAAAATCACTTTGGATATCCAGTATACAAAATGAATTCATTGATAGTGATTAGCTTTAGTAAAATGTACATTGACTAGTATAGTGTATCTAATAAAGAGTGGTGTTTGTACTGTCAATGTTCTATTAATTTGAAAATTAAAACATGAATTTTCTAGGCATTAAGTGACTTCACTATGTGATTTATTAGTTTTTCTCTAATTCTAATTCTACTATTCAATAATTGATTTTCGAATAATCTAAACAAATTAATGAGGAAAATGTTTTATTCGATTAAGCTTTGAACTAGTACAACTGAATTTTACGATTAGGTATAGAAAAACATGTCGGTTAGATAAGGGACACGATTGATTGAGAGCAATTCAATATCAGAATTAATGGTGACAGTTATGATGATGATGATAACTAATATTTAGGGAAATAATTCAAAGCTTGAAATGAACATGGTAATTATAATGTTGAATAAGTTTTATTCAGTGAATACGTTGTTATAAAATAAACAGCTTACTTAGTAATCAGTGTAAGAGCTGAAAATTCTTTTGAACTGGTTATATTGTTAAGATTAAGTGTTTAGGCATCAAGAAACAACACATATAATTCAAGCCTAATAAAACGAACATACAGTGATTGTAGACCCTAAAACATTTAGAAATCAATTACTCTCATTCAATGCAATAAATCTTTTATGGTTGAATTAATCTAAAAAAATTTCAAATAATCGTTCTGTCCAATTAATGTTATTATTCTACATTGGATTTTACGACGAATAAGTTTCATTTATGTTATTTAGTACTTAGTGTTAATCGTTGTTTACTGATCGAATTTCAACACTTTATACTGTTGTCATAAAGTTATTTAATATCAAACAAAGCTAATTATGATGTTGAGTCACTTGAACCATTGACCACACCATAGGGATGATCGATGGAATGAGGACAATTACTAGGACTAGATGATATAATTTTCTTTAATATTCAGAAAAAAATTAATGCGAGCATCTCATCCTTATAAAAGGAAAGTTATTGCCCAAACGGCTGAATAATAATCTCTGTGAGTATGATACTCACTGATATAAGACCGCATTCCACGAAAACGATTAAATTCTCTTAGGATTATAAATGCAACTTAGACGTAGTATGTGTTATTGGAACTCGTTTTGAAAATTTTAAACAACTTTAATTCAAAGCAATGATCGTACGTTTGATAAAAAGTATTATTAAGTGTAAATGCATATCTTTTTCATAATTGATTAACTTTATTACTGTATATGTCTGACTTCTTTTTATCATTCATATAATCATCATTATCCTTGGTAATGTCGCAGTAAACGAGAACTTAAATGGGGAAGATCAATTTATTGTTGAAAGCTATACATTTAATATATAATTTGCATATCCCCCATCAATTGTTCTTTACATGCTTCATGATTCTTTCACTTCTATTGTTATCATAGCTAATTTCTGTTTTTATTTCTGTTCTCTTCAATTGAATCTTCTCAATCTTCTGCTGGCATGCATTTCATTTCCGATTGGTAACATCATAAACCATAGTATCATTAATTAATATTACCACAATTTTGTAGAATGATTCTGATAAGTTTACATGCATTCAAATTATTCTTTTCTAACTATTTATTTTGAGTAATATTTACAATAATCATTTGTTAACATTTTTAATGTTATTTTGGTTGATAGTGAGTCATTTCCTATTTTACCAAGTCAAACGGGTTGGTGTAAAGTATATAAACTACGTCCATTACTTGCCAACAACAGACATAAACGTGGTCTAGCATTAGATGGTAAATTAAAACATGAAGATACTAATCTGGCTTCATCCACAATGTAAGTTTGTTATTTGTATTGTTATTTTAAAATATAGATATATACTATTGAGTTTTGACCGAATTTTGTATGGATACTCAGTGATTCAATGATACTGTGTTTTTTGTGACAACTTTAAACTGTCTAGGCTTTATATTGATTATCTTCATCCATTTAACACTTAATGCTCCATGTTTCATTCTTTTTAGGGTAATTATTTTCTCTGTTTTAAAAGGAAAGTTTATTCACAATATTGTACCATAGAATAAACGTTATATTCAATTGTAATTGATTTCAATAAGAAAGAATAAAACACCTTAATAATAACATTATTTACACAGGGTGTAACATCAAGTTTAAATGTTTAATTTTTATATTATTATCATAGTAATATATTATTATTAATAATAGTTATAATAATATATTACTATCATAATATTACCATAAGCAATATCTGACCTATATCTTCTAACTATTTGTTTTCGTTATTTCTTTAGATTGTTTCATCTAATCCCTTACTTCATGTAATCCCTTACTTATTTACTTGCTTGCTTAAGCCTGTTACCCCTCGTGGAGGAGCATAGGTCACTCACCAGAAAGCATGACATGAGCTAACGAAAATCATTAATTTCTAAATATATGATTATGGTCAAATAGTTTATCTGAATCTTTGTTAAACAAAGTTTTTAATACTTTTAAGCTGGAAATGGATGATAGAACATGACATCCACTGAATAAGTTAGCAGTTAAAAATATTATATTATTGAATAATGCAATAACAACAACAGTAGAATCAAACAACAAGACTCGTATTTTTCCGAACAATAATTTGAGAATATTATTACTATTATTCTGATTGTTTAGTTTAAAATTATTATTTTCAATCTGATAATTTCAAACTAAGATAAAATAACAATAGTTGAGATCATGAGTCAATTGAAGCTAGACCACCATGGAAAATTTGGAAGCACTGGACAATCGTTCTCGTCCTACTATGGAATTCCTCAGAAGTGTGCATTTACGACCCTGACTCGCTAGATTCAAACCCACGACCTATCGTTCTCGCCCACGAACGCTTAACCTCTAGACCACTGAGCCGGCCGGCACTCAACGGTGTTAATGTCTAACTTCAACTAATCCGCGAAATTGAGCGACAAATCCACCATTTTCATCAGTGAATTCCTATCTCACAAGAGACCCGGTTGAACTCCAGTGATCACTGCTTCTCATTAGAACTTCAGGAAATACCTCTTGAAGCCAGTCACTAGTGAGCATATGTTGATTATTATTGTCATTGCATTTAGGTTATACATTCTTTTGATGTTAGTTGTATAACCAAATTATTTTCCTCCTTACTAAATATATTCTTTGAATTGTAATATAATACTTCTGACTGAAGTGGATCATTATTTAGTTTTTTTTTCTAATTTTAATATATTAACAGTATATGCAATCCGAACCATAAAGAAAATCTTGGCATGACTGTTCAGTATCGTGTAAAAGTTCGATTAGTATTAGGATTCGTGTCAAGGTGAGAAGGTTGTACATTCCTATTTATTAGTTTTATAAACTATTCATTCATCTGTTTTCGTCAGCATATATTTTAAAATGATTAATTATTTTATTCAACTTGAACGATTCCGTATGAAGGTATGGTTTCTCAGAATTATTTACATGTCGAACAATGTGACCACATATTTATTTATGATATTTGTATGTATGTATGTATGTATGTTTGTATATGAGAAATAAAAGTCAACTAAATAATTCGAACATAAGAAAAGAACATGATAACTAACAAAGAAATTCATGTTCACACCTCTCGGGATAGTAAGTCAATATTGTGTATGTTATTTATGTCTTCTTTAAGGTCTTACAACTAGGGGTTCATTAAGTTTTAATAATTTATTGATAATATTGGTTTTTTTTTATTTAAAAAAATAACCCAAAAGCGTGCATTCATTATCGAGATTATTCAAAATAAATGTTGCATTTATATCAGTGTTAGTAAAGGGCTCATTTTGTCAATCTTTGTTGACATATGTGGATTACATGGGATTTGTCTCGATGTAACTATTATGTTTCAAGTTACTTAGAATTGATGGATAGTGGTTATCAACTAAGTTTAATTTTCACTTTTCGTTTTATCTGGGACTCCTCAATTAGATTAACCTGCATACAAGCGTTGTTGTTTTCACTGGAATTCGGTTGAAGTTTGTTTGAATGCTGTATTCTTTGTATTGATAAATTATAGAAACGAATAGTCTCTATTTACATAACTTATTCGATAATTATACATGGCTTTTTGTACTTGATATATTCTGTGGTAAGTTGAAGTTAATTGTTTGAACAGGTTATTTTGTAAGCTTCGTAGTTAGCTGCCATAACTGTAAATACAGATCTTTGAGAATAGTTTCCATATACTAAGTAAAAGTTTGTCTTGTGCATGTAACTTAAATTTATTTGCATTTAGTACTTACGTGTTCGCTTTTCATATATTTACTTCATATGGATGTTCTGTTCACTACAATTAGTCATACGCAACGTAGAAAATGGAACATATATGAAACGCTTTAAGTTACCACATCATATAATTACTGTAAGTAATGACAGTAATGCTGGTGATATAAAAGTTTTGGCAAATAAGTTGTGATATAAATATGCAGCATAGTACTAAAATTCTGTATATCATGGAAGATCAAATCAACATTACGACCTATTCATAACAATGTCACACATTATTGTCAACCATCGATTGAAATAATAACAAGGGCTTAAACTATGAAGTCTGCACCTGTCAACCCGAGTGTTGTTACATTTGATTCTTCACTAACTGATATACTACTTATATATCGAAATAGTTTTTTTATTTGAGATGTTATTACTATTTGTTTCAACATTTCACTTGTATTTTTTTACCTTTTTACATGGTGTTATAATAAGAAACATAATGCTTTGAATTTCATTTATCCTTATTTAAGACAACATTGTCACTAATCTAATATTTAAATAAAATGTGACGGTAATTTTCATAGAAAAAAAATGTTATTTATGAATATCTGTGAATCTTATTTGAGAAATACTCTAGTTAAAATTCTGCCTTAAATACTGCATTGAAAAGACATTAAAAGTCAAAAAAATGTTATGATTACGAAAGTTTATGAATAATGCAATATGCGGTTGCATTATTTAGACACACAAAAAACGTTTTCAACGACTGACTGTCAAAATTCATGTTACCATTACAAGTATTGAATGCAAATGTATTGTTTTCATTTAAACAAATAAGGATTGGCATTTTGTATCTTGCTGATATTGAGTAGAAAAATAGCTTTAGTTATTTATTGAAGATAGAAACACCAATAGCATATGACTGAATAGTTTGAAGATAGTTCTTTCTAATTCAGTTTTGACCTAGATGTTATTGTTATTTAAGTAGTTGAAACCATGAATCAATTAAAGCCAGACCACCATGAAAAACCTGGAAACACTGAGCGGCTGTTTCGTCCTATTATGGGACTCTTTAGTATATGCTCATTAGTGACTGGCTTCAAGAGGTATTTCCTGGAGTTCTAGTGCGAATCAGTGATCACTGGAGTTCAACCGGGTCTCTTGTGAGATAGGAACTGACTGATGAAAATGGTGGATTTGTCGCTCAATTTCGTGGATTAGTTGAAGTTAGACATTAACACTGTTGGGTGCCGGCCGCCCAGTGGTTTAAAGGTTAAGCGTTCGTGCGCGAGAACTATAAATCCTGGGTTCGAATCTCGTGAGGTGGGATCGTGGATGCGCACAGTAGGACGAAATAACTGTCTGGTGTTTCCAAATTTTCCATGGTGGTCTAGCTTCAATTGACTCATAATCTCAATTACTGAACTTACTATAGTATCCACAAAAACCCCTTCTGATATTATTAATACGTCGACTAAATTTCTGTTTATAATTTTTCCAACTGTTTTTCTTAGTGATGTCAGCGTGGAACTTCCATTCACACTAACTCATCCAAAGCCTGATTCAGATGTCAATGGTACTTCATCAAAGCTAGTTATTGATGATGATAATGATATTCTTCATCCTTTGTTGTCTGGATCTGATGATAGATTAAAACATAATCAGCATATCTTGCAACAATCCCAGTTTTATTCAAACGAACAAAGTTCATCTGATCGTAATGTAAATATTACAGATGATTTAATTAAATTGGATGATGGAATAAATGACAAGTGAGTTGGATACATTAGTAACCAAAATATTTTGATTATAGTTACAGATTAATAAACATAGGTTAAACATTTTATTCAACAATCATAAAATAACAAGACTATCTAATATAATCATAAATACATCTACTATTTTTCTTGATCAAAACTAATCAATTAATATAATAGTAACGAATAGACTATTCAATTTGATTTGATATACATTTCGGTACTTTATTATACTAAGAATTCGTTGCATCGTATATAATATAATATACTAAAACAAAACCCTAACTATCCAATGTTCTTTGATTTCCAATAATCTATTAGCTGTTGGTATTATCTATGATGAAAACTATTTTCATATTAAACAGAAATAATACTGATATTAAAGCTTATTCCTTATTAATATAGTTTATCTATAATACAATGATTTATTAGGGGTTTTATACATTTAAATAGTTGGATTATTATTTAAAGCAACTATAGAATAATGTAATATTTGTCATGAAAAAAAAAACCAACACATTAATAATCTTAGAAGGGGTATTGTTGACATTATAGTAATTTCAATGGTTGAGATCATGAGTCAGTTGAAGCTAGACCACCCTGGAAAACCTGGAAGCACTGGACAGCCGTTTCGTCCTATTGTGGGACCCCTCAGCATTAATAATCATTAGAATTATTTCCAACGAATAAAAAGAACTGAAAATATGTTTGATTTTTTTCTTCTTTAAAAATATAAATCTAAAGTTAAATAGTCGAAGTAATCATATTACACAATCTTATAATTTATGGTATATTTCTTTTTACATAGGTTAGATCATATTATATTAATCAATAGTTTATCACAACAAGACTAAAAAGTCACACTTTATAACCACGTGGTATTGTAGTTATTGATAAAACTAGTGATTATTTGCATTTGTGTGTTATATTTGTTTTAGTTCAAATGTACAATAAACACATGATAATTGAGTGAATGAATATTATGAGGTATTTATTTGTAGTTGAATATAATAGTTTGATTATCTATAAAATACATAATATGACTTCAATATCTTGTAATTAAATCAACTGTAAATTTATTGATTCAATCTGGTTAACAATATTTATTCCCTCACTTCATGTTGATTAATCATATTTGAACAAGAGTTTTTCTTCAGAAAACTTAGAGCTGAGAGCATCTTTTTAATATCCTTAGTTTTCAATTGTTGAGATCTTGAGTCAATTGATGTTAGACCACCATGGAAAACCTTGAAGCACTGGACGACTGTTCCGTTCTATTGTAGGACTCCTCAGTAGTGCACATCCACGATCCTGCCTTCCAGGACTTGAACCCAGGATGGAAGGTGTTAGAAAAAATCTTCTCTCTCTAAAAAAAACACAATAACAACATGGGATTTAATATTTACAAATTAATATTCCCCTTGGTTTTCGAATGTATTATATATCTACGATTGATTTCAATAAAGTGTTTTACCTTTTTCACTTGAACAACTATGCTTGACATTATATATATTTTTTGAAAATATAGTTGAAATGAATTAATCATCATTTTATTGGTAGTTAGCTAGCGTACTATTTACAGGATAGGTATTTTATGTATATGAGTGTGAATATGTATTTGAATTGTCTGGATCTCTGCATGTATGTCTGCAAGTGTACATTAAAAAGAAGTGAATAGATTAATTATTGATCAAAAATGTTATAATCTGGTAGCAAACATGCGCGCCTATCGCACAATAAGGATTATTATGCTAAATGTTTCTTTTTTGTCGTCGAGATACTGATATTTCATAACTCCATACATTTCTAAGCCCAGATGATGTGAGGTTGTAGTATACCTTTTTTCAAACTTGTATGTAATATAACTCTAGGAAAACAACAAATATCATGAAGCTTAACAGTATTTATTTAAGGAATCGTGTGAACTAGACACTACTGTGATATTCTGGTAATAATATCACTTTATATAAGATAAAAGGGCCTAATAGTTGTAAATTAATGGTAATCTGATATTCTTATGCTTTAAGGCTATTCATTCAAATTATTTTGTTGATTCTTTTGTTACGATTGCTCTAATACCGAAATTCGTACTAGTTGTCGTCCGTGGCCTGTAAATCTCTATAGTAACATCTTCGGCAATGTATGATATATGTTAGATTCGTATAATGGTCATTGGATTACTAATGATGAGAGATACGATTTTCTGTTGAATATTGGCTAACAGAACTTAAATTTTGATAGCTTTTTATTGGCTAACCGTAATCAATCCATAAGTTATTATTCTCCTTTTTTTAAAACATTTATTCATATATTCAATCTGTTTAGTACTGTAGAATAAATCAAAATATGTGCCAATATTTTTATTTACTAAATCGTAACATAAACATCTCTAGGTTATCTTACCATGATACACGTATCCCAACACAGACTAAACATTTCAGGTCTTTATTACTAACGATTGGAAATAATAAATAATGAGAAATTAACATATGCCTTTTCAACAATGTATTAGCTAATTGAACTCGGTAGGCAGTTTAAACGATAGGTTGACATTTAAAATGATGGTTACTAGATGTAAGGCTCAGTGAATTTTCGGTACGTATTGGTTTTCAATCGTAAACTCGATTAAACTCATGTCCTGTATTCCTCTCCTAACTGCAAATTGCCTCTAACAAACTAACTTACTTGCCTGAATGACGAAGACAGAACACCGTAAGCACTTTTCAGTCGCCAGATTTATATTTCTCGCTGACAAGATATTTAACTTGGATATTATTAGATCAATCAGTATGTTCGTGTACAAATGTTTTCATTTTTTGGTTTGTAAAGAGTAATTAACATAAAACCATATCTATTGTGAGAGCTCATGATTTTAATAAATACCGTGTGAAAAAAACGGACTTTTGATTAAACTAATCTATTCATTTCTCTTTACTATTCTTTTTTTCTCAAAACAACGAATCATTACAAAAACAGCAAAGCATATTTAGTCAGTAGTGTTGGTGGCGGTGTTGATGATGACGATGATTTGATTTTTGAAGATTTCGCTCGTCTACGTTTAAAATCATATGAATCTGATAAACGTATGGATATAGCTGATTCATCTACGGCTGATCCAACAGTGGCAACAAATGTCAACACATCTAACGCTGTCATTTCTCCATCATCAACATCATAACAGTAATTTTTTTTAAAAAAATGTATATTTTCTTATTTTCTACTAACATTCTTTCTTAAATAGTTACACGATTTTTTTTTCTTTTGCTTTCTTTATAATATATAACTATAATGATTATTTGTATTTTTGTGGGAACTACTACTAATACTACTGATATTCAGTGCTTTTAACTAATGCTTTTGTTTATTTCAAAAGAAATTTTAATTCAATAATTTCAGTTTATTAAAGTAATTCTTTTCTTAATTATTGTTCAGGCTGATTGATTATGATTTTTAGATCAACTTGAATTTGAAACTGGAAAAATAAACAGATTATTTTGACTGTTCAATATTTCTCTTCTTGTCACTCTCTCTCTCTCTCTCTCCATGCTCATTTAGTTTCTCTTCGTTTTATATGTGTCTTTCATCAGAATAGTTTGATCAATTTATTTCCTTATAGAAGTTGTACTAATGTTATATATTCAAAGTATTCATTTTCAATGTATTCAACTTTATTTCTTATTCCCATTCATAAGTATAAATTATTTCATAACAAATATCTATTAATTTTCTTTTCTTTTGTTGTTGCAAATCTCACAAATTAAATGAAAACTAATGAAAAGTAAATGAATGAAGAAATCTCTTAATGGAATTTGTCAATATCATTATTATCATTATTTAAGTTTTAATGATTTATTTTGAAAGAATAAAAGTCTTGTATATTTGTAACTTTTAATTGAGTTTTACATCAAAATAATAATGGACTTGGTAATAGAAGTATAGTAAGTAATAAGTGTTCGATTAGTAATGATCATCTATTAAGAAAAGTATATCAGTATATATGTTTTAGTGTTTATTTGGATATTATACATATATATATATATCTTTGGTTTTAGTTTTACTTAACTGAAATTAGACTCATCTCATGAAGATTTGTTCTACTCGAACACAATGATGATTATACTACTGATATTATTTCTTATTTAAAATGATCCCTCAATCTATTTTTTATAATTAAGAAATGAATTATTGTTTAACTAATGTATCTTTAATGTTTCTATCGTGTAAATAAGTGAGAATTCTACATTAATACATCATCAAGTGTTCGTCTTAACTTCTATTTATCGTTGTTTTATTCGTCACCGTAACTGTTTGTTTGTATTTATTTGTTATTGACACATCACCATTATCATAAACGTTGTTGTGATTGTCTTCAGTTTCTTTACACACACACACACATACCTATTCTTTGCTGATTGTCATACCCTGTGGCTATTATTTTCGTTTCTCATTTACATATCCTTCTTTCTTTATGTTGTTTCATAGCTGTTTTTATTTATTATTATGACTATTAAGTTTAAAATTTATCAGTCGAAAACCCTTTGCAAAGAACAAACCGAATAAAGAAAAGAATAAGTGAAGTGAAATTAAGCGAATCTATTAAAAATCTAATGAAGTTTTCTCTTATTTGTATAGTAAAAATATATATTTATATTCTTTACTTCATTACTTGTGTTGTCATCAAAAATAAAAACAAAGTGTACAGTCGAATAAACGTAGAAAATATATGAGCACATTAACATTTTATGTAGTCTATGACTGATGTGAAATTTGAGCTGTTCCAGAGACTTTTTGAAATACACCGTACAACAGAATATTTCAGACTGAAGTAATTTATTTCTCTACTTATTAATGAAGTTTTTAAACAGTCGATTGTACCCTGAAACATTAGTTACAAAGTAATACATTACTGTATATTACAGTGGCTCGACTATGTTTTATGGTTTTTTAAAACTTGAAGGTTTTAAATTGCAATGAATGTCTTAGAATCCTACAAAAAATGGTGGCTGGCATTGGAGTCCAGAAGGCTCATTTTATATTATGCAAGACCAGTCACCAGGATATCCTTACATCCCATTGCTGATATCCATTCATGGACGCATATAGTTTTACTTTCACATTGTTGATGTACCTTCTTATATTTACATACAAATTGTGTTCACTAATTAAGACTAAATTTTATTGAGATTGTCTTGTAGCTAACGCTCAATAATTTGGTTTGATAGGAGTGCATATCAGTAATTTATGCACTCCAAAGCCGTTAGCAAACAATCTTTTCTAAACTGAACTCTGGTCAAAAGAGATATGTGAGAACCATTTTTCAATGGCCTTAACGCTTGATTTTTATAAATGGTAATCTGATTTCATCACACTCATCTAAACTTTTTATTCTTATTAATTTTAATTCGTTATAATCATCATGTTGTTGATTTATTCTTCATTTTTCTCATACTCGTCAAGTGGACAATTATTCTCCGCATATTATCTTTCTTCAACGCACGATTATAAAGCCACTTTCTTCGATACATAATATGATATAATCGTCGTCTTAATTTTCAGTCGACTATTTTATGTAGAAATTAACCACAAATATGATGGTACGGCTTGAGTGAATGATATCGAAAAGAAAATTTTCTTTGCTGAACTATATCAACAAGTCTTGTATCATATCATAGGTTACTTTCATTATTGTCGCTTTATTAAGTTTATAAGTTTACCATACTGGTATCTATTTAGATTTTAGCTTTACACGTACAGTCATTTTATAAATAATAAAGCGATATTTTATTAGTGTATGATATTCATTTTAAGAATCCGAGGTTCATCTGAGATGTTGGTTTATTTTTCTCGGAAAAATAATGTCTATGTTCTTTTGAAAATTAAATTAAAGAATTCCCTTAAAAACTAAGATATTGATCAGTACTAGATCACAGTTTGGTCTGTAATAATTTCAATATTAAGTTTTGATGTAAGTAGTGATTTAGATATACTTTAAATATTTCAACCTGTGAAACATGAATCCACTATGCTATTATAGCAAAAATGACCAACTGTATGATTTAGCCGTCAGCACTGGTCAATCGTCAGGTTGACGTTAAGTGCTATTGAAATCAGGAAAAGATGACAGTGTCAGTTGCATAATGATCACATTCCATATTTATTTATGTCTAATCGAAATCGTGTATTCCATTGACATTTTCTTCTATTTATTCATCATTTTTGTATGCAGTAATGCCTTGTTTGAAGTTTGTTGTCTAACTGATATATCATTTAAATAAATTTTGAAAATAACTGAGATCACAGACAATAACTGAATCCTAGATTTTTTTAAAACTCGATTTGGACATTAGTTTTAAACCCCTAATTTCGTATGGATCAACTGGATAGCAAGTGCTTCTTTACTAGTGATAAGAAAATAATTGTCAAATGACATCATATTTTCAGTAGTTATCTAGTTAAACTCAGAATATAATACAAACTGTCTTCTAACTGAACAATCTCCACAAATCTACCATACCGAAATTAAATAATCACTTAATCAGCGTGTTTATCATGCAGATTTTAATATCTGTTCTTACTTTAAATAAGTCATGGGTATTCACACATTGATACTAGTAAAGTATATATTTTTGAATGACAATGAATAAAGTGTCAAATAGTGAGTTTATATTATTAGAAAAATCGTACTTCACTATTCAAATAATATATAGAAATCCTTCTAAATGAAAGACTACTTTTCATGTTTCCATGAAACTAGAATCAGTTATTTCAATGATGATTAAAACTGAATTTTCTTAAGAGTATCCACAGAATTCACGCCAGTTTACAGGCATGATCAATTTGATATAAATAGTAACATTAGATGTAGAGAACAAACAATGTGGTATAGGATAGTTTTAAGTATACTACTTCAGTGATTGTTTAGGCAGTAAATAAGTTGCAGCAATTCAATGCATCCGCCAGGAACTTTTAATTTTCCTTAAGTAGATAGCCTGTTGATTTATAAACGGTATATTTAAGATTATTTCATGTACCATAACGAAATATTGATAATTATCTACAACTAGAGAAAGTAAAACGAAATCAGAGAGCACGGAACAACAAAGCAATAAATACCAAAATATGTCAATCAGGTCTACCGTAATGCATTTGTCATATGTTATAGTGATATACTGTTAATGTTAGATATTACTCAAATTAGTTAGAGTTGCTAGGGACAGTTTTAACCTAAAGTCACAACAGGTAGGTGATTTTAATTAGGAACTCATTAATAATAATGACTAGAAATTTCACTCGTGGAATAAGATACACATACATGTATTAGAACATTTAATGCATTTTCAGAGGAGCGGTATGCATCAATGCAGCGAACAAAGAATGAGAGTGATTTTATCGTACGGATAAATTGTGTTAGATTATTCCATAGTCTAGGAATTTATTCATGTAAAGAGATGATTTACAATGAGTATGTTTCATTATTGACAAAGAGTTACGAATGTCTTATTAAGAAATTTCTTCGTATTGAATTATTTGATTAAATTTAAAGTATAGTTTATTAAGTAATTTAAAGAAGAAAAAAAGATTTAGTTTCAATCTCTTCTTCCATAAAGAGTCGAGCTCAGGTTTATTGTTTTATTGAACTGAACCAACTAATTAACAATATCAGTCACCTGAAAAATAGAACTAAAAAAAATGAAAAAACAAAGTTCACAAAGAAAGCATGGAGAGATTATAATTTATGGCCGATCTTTGAACGAATCTCAAGTGACCTTGAAAAATATTAGCCAATCAACAAACAGTAAGTACAGAGTAAAAATACATTATACAAAATCGAAGAAATAAACTGGATACACTTCTGATACATGGTTCAAAAACTTCAGAAGTTCTAAAATCGTAATTCACGCAGTAGAGAAAATCATCCATATGGCTACACAATAGTCGGTATCTGGAGCCATGATAAACTCGCAAAAACTATTTCAACCTCGACCACATAGCTTCAATATTGTTTGTGTGCACTCCAGTTGTTGAGTACACAAAATGCCACTTGTGGACAACGAAACAATGCACATGATTAAGCGTATGTAGGAGTCTGTACGCTCTCCAATCATCCATATATATTGTAGTACATGGCTCCAGCTAGTGCTACAGGTGCTTTTATTATCCTGTTCAGAATAACTGTCACAATTCGCCTTAGTTACGAATTATATATAGAGTTTTCATCACGAACTGATATCAGCTATAATGCCAGAAATTTATTTAGTCAAATGGATGAAAGACTTTCACGCCAAAATCGGAGATCTGTTATCTTCTACCTGATTGATTCGTCCACAAATTATAGTCTTGCTATTTTATTTGTTATAGCCGCTCAATTATCACGTTTTGTATAAAATCATCTATGAACTAATTGTACGTTAGTATTAGGAACTGAATTTGGCGCCGTAACCTTGAAATCCCTCAATAGCTTCTGAATAGCTCGTTCATAATTTATAGTCTCGCCGAAAATATTTATTTGTCGTATTAAAATCTTTATTTTTATGATTAATATTTTTTTTTCCATAAAGAAACTATTATTCATTCAATCATTCATTCTCATATAAATATCCAAATATTTATTTGATTTTTCAATAAAAATTTTTTGTTTTCTCTTTTTTTTAAAAAAAAAAATTATTCATCAAGTTTAAATGATTTTCGGTTGAATGAATATTATTGATTTAAGAATTTAAAGTTTAGAGCAAAAAGATTATTTTTTTATCAGAAATAAGAAACTACGACGACGAAGAAGAAGAAGAAGAAGAAGAAGATATATAATGGTTATTTCAATAAAAGGAATAAATGGTTACTTATTACTTGAACATATTCATAATTGTTCTATTTGAACTGGGAAACAAGAAGTGTAAACAAATCAGTGATATTTTTTTCCAATTTTAAAAGTGTTAATAATGGGGTTGACTAATATGAAGTGTTAAAAAGCTTGTAATTGAAGGCTATATTAAGGGTTGACATTAAGTGACCGGTCAATATGATTCCCTACCACCTATTTATTCTATATTAAGACAATCCGTACATGATGCAGCCTGCTTGAACATCTGGGTTATTTATTTCTGTCATCTAGATAATTCAACAAGTTATCTGATTTTGTTTGTTTTGATACATCATTATGGTTATTAATGATATAACTTATTGAGGTGCTTTTCTGAAATGTATAAAACCTTTCGTTGTGCAGGTTAAAAAGGGCTCGATCAAAGATGTCGTGGTTAATGGCAATATGCCTCAAATGAATGTATATTATTTAGATGTCGATTGACTGGACTGCTAACTTTTAACTGGAGACCACTAAATATTTATCGTTAGGATCAACCAAGAAGTAAGAAACGGAAACTTATTGAGATACATTGTGCAGAGGACTCTTTATTGCACCAAAAATATAATATTGAATGAAGCTAATAAGAATAATATGGCAACATGAGAGTGGTCAATTGTAGTCCTAAATAACAATAGGAAGATACAAGTAAAACAACAAGTGAATTTAACCTCAATCAGTTTATAAGTGAAATGAAATTATAAGGTAAATAATGATCAGAATAAGTATGGTCAACATGGGATGAGAGAGAGTGAATAATGGAATAAAAATCCGAAATTGTGTAATATGTAGAATAATATGAATTGGGTCAGGTTCTCTCTCTCACCTCATGTTGAT